TGGAAGCCAGAAGATACTCTAGACCATTAAGAAGGTATCCATGACATACTCAGATGCACCAGAACCTAATATATTAGGCGGATCTCTTTCTCCATCAATCTTCCTTATTGGACAGCATTTACACAAAATGCCTTGAATGAGATTTTGAAGATATTTGCTCAAGACCAACAGCCATATTCCCTTTTTGTTAATGACAAAGAGTATTTAAAGAAGGCTTGAAGATCATGAACACGTCCAGAAGCTATCCAGATACAAGACTCCATTAATTCTTTTGGAAGAAGGCATAAGTCAAGCTAAAGGCAATATTCCATGGAGCTTTCAAAACCTTTGCTTCCAAGCTTTTGATTTCGAGTTTATTTCTTTCCTTTTATCATTTTATGACTGTTAGAGTCTGTCCCTGTCGAGCCTATAAAGCTCTTGTCTTTGTTTCATTGTAAACCACCCTTTTTCCCATCTTGAAAGTATTATTCAGTTTTCTAGTTTTCTTAATACTATTGTTTAAGTCTTTAGAGTTTGTGAGAAGCATCTCCAGAGTAGCCTGACTTATCAAGGCTACTGTCCATAGAGTCTTGTGGCGTCTTCAATCCATCCATCATTCCATCTCATCCATTTGCCAAGCTTGAGAGTGACTTCAGTCCAGCAAGCTTTGCTCCATCTCATTCCACTTCAATCATCTCTTGATTAGGCTGAGAGAGACTTCAGTCCAGCAGCCTGATCTCATTCTATCCTTTGTTTATTTGCTTTGTTTCATCATTCATCTTGCTTAAAAATCATTCATCTTTTATCCTTTTGTTTGCTTTGATTTCTTATTGTTTTTCCATCTAGTTTTCACTTGTTTCATTAAATCTAAAAAAAACAATAAAAATCACATCTTCTTATTGTTCATCATTCCTCATTTAGTTTACTCTGATTATCATTTTAAAACCAGAAAACTCATAAAAAGCTTATATTTGTTTCAGGTACAAATCACAGCCCTCACAATCACTCCCACAAGCCCTTATCGGTGTACCGGAACCACCTCCTCAGGAACCTCCGATCTTCTCTTTGTGCAGTCTGGTTTCCAGCCTGTAACAGTTTCCTTCACCACTGTCTTTTTGTTTGTTTTGAGTCAGAAGCATTTGATGGAGTCGGAGTTTTGCGCTGGAACGAATGAAGAAAGTCAGAACTTAAGTAGAATATTTTGGCAATATTTGGTCTCCGACTATAGCCATAATGGAAAATGTTGATGGGGGATTGCTAGTTAGGTACAAGATTTTGAACGGTGAAGAAGATGAATGCACCAGCCACCAAAACAAGGGTTCTTTACTCTGAAATCAGGCCTTTGCCACCACCTTTTGATTTAAGAGCTTTCAAAATATATTTGTCACTAATACTCCCTATGTTTCATTATAAGTGTCACTCTACAGCTGTGCACACGGTTTTAAGAAATAATTAATTTTACATATTTTCTATATAAAAACACAATTACCTATACACTTAAACCATATTTTAATCAATAGAAAAACTAACTACATAATAAAATTAATAAATTTTGCATTGAAAACCGAAAACGACACTTATTTTGTAACGCAAAAAATTCTCTACAACGAGACTTAATATGAAACGGAGGGAGTATAATTTTTGAAGCATTGTAATTGTTTCTGAAAAGAATGAAACTCTTCATGACATTTAGAACAATTGTTTTGTAGCAGCTTTTGGATAAGTTATAATTTTAGGGTTTGTATTATCTGAGCACAATCTAATCATATGTAGATAAACTTTACATATTTTCTAAGCTAAATTTAAACAGTATTTTTTATAAATTTATATATTGAGAAGACACAACTCTTTAACTAATTGAAAAAGACACTTATTAATACATATTAACTATTTTTTTAAATACAAAATTTGCATATTGGAAAAAAATAATGTTTTAACTATTAACATTGGATTCAGTTATTAAATATTTTAACTATTATTGTATATTGAAACAAAACAAAACCGATTTCAATTTTTTTTGGAAAATATAGAACCTTTCAATATTAAAAATGGCAACAATGAAAAAAGTTAACAATAGTAACCGACTACAGTGAATGCATGTGTTGAAAAATCAAACATGAACCCCAAAACGTACATTATCAAATATGCAAAATTTGGAAACTAACCTTTTCGTCTAGAAAAAAATAAGACTAATAATTTCATTGTTGCATTTCAGATTTTGTGCTATCCAAACGCGATCCTTCCTACTATTTTTTGTTGAATACACTTCATTTAAATATGTTCTAACAACTAGTATTTAGATAACTGCGCAGAATTTTTATCTTCACCATGTTTTATATTAGTGAAAACTTTTTTCTGAAAAACTCATGAACATAGACTATTTATAGATATTCAAAGAATTATTTGAATAATCACAACCTTTCAAATAATCAGTTATTTAATGAATAGTCACAACTTTCTATTTATAGGTAGTTAATTAAGTGGTACTTTTACAATATCAAATAAACACCTCTTTTCAAATAACAATGAATAGTCACAATTTTATATTTATAGATAATTAATTAAATTGTGTTTCAACAAAAAGATAGTTAATTAAATGATACATTTACAATATCTATCTCGAATACACACATTTTTCTAAAAAAAATTATATTTTGAATAGATAAATTCTTTTAGAATAACTAAATTTAAATAGACATATCATTTAAAAATATATTTTTATTATAAAAAGACACATTAGCTAGGATTCATAACCTTTAACATTAATTAATACCTTACATTATCTATTTGGATTAGATACATCTTTTCAAAAAACAAACTGTATTTTAAATAGACATATAATAAAAAGAGTATTTGCACTCCATACACACACAAAACCCTCTATTTAGTTGTATACCCTATTTCTCTCTTATCTCTCTTCTTCCCATCACTACTTTTTCTCCCCCAAATTATGGCAAATTCCTAAATAACTTCTTCTTTTAGTATATTGAGCTAAATTACTCTAATAAAAAAATATTATAGAAAGATACATTAGACAGAATTCACAACCTTTCATATTAATATATTTTTATTATAAAAAGACACGTTAGCTAGGATTCATAACATTTCACATTAATTAGTACCTTACAATATCTATTTCGAATATATACATCTTTTCAAAAAACAAACTAAATTTTAAATAGACATATAATTTCAAAAAAAAAATTATTATAGAAATATACATTAGATAAATTAAATTCACAACATTTCACATTAATTGAGATTTGATATTATTATCATCATATATTGTTTTTCAGGTATCGTTGAATCTAAAAGTAACATCATAAATATATTTGCGAACGCACAGTTGGTTTCTTCATATCTTTCTTGGTAGTCCTAACTGCTAGAGGGACAAAGGGCAAGATAATTAAATAAATCTCCAAAACACCCAAAACTCAAAAGCAGATAAATTCATTAAATACGTACATCATGTTATGATTTATATATGAATTATAAATGCAATAATTTTGAAACCTTATAAATATTTAGCTTTCATCGAAACTTGATTTCCTTTCCACTTGTTCTTCAAGTTCCATCTTCCCCACTTAAACGCATACACAAACAAGTGTTGCAATTAATGATCAGTTTACTGAATAAGAAGAATATATACTTAAGTTATTCACGATTCTCAGGTCTGGTGAAACGATACGAACCAATCACTAATAAACTAGCATTAGGAAAATAAATACGAAACAATGAAATCAAGTAGACTGCAATACAAAAACTGGGAGAGAAAATAGCAAAATCAGAAGGAAAGCTACAAGTGGATCGTTCATCGCCAAAAAATAAACGCAAGCCACCCCATCTCCTCCCACACATTACTAACCATTCAAAAAAAAAGATCGGATCACAGAGACATTAAAAAAAAGAAAATTTTCAGAAACAAAAATTGGACGAATGTTAAAAAATTTAAAGAGGCAAAAATTAATCAGACATACGGCGAGCACATACGGAAAATAAACCTCTTCGAATTGGGGAAAGAATAAAACAAATAAATGGTTTACAAACAGTTATGTAGAAATTGGTTCTGGGATTTTGGGTGGAAAGATGGACTGAGAGAGGATGTATGGGTACAAAAAAATATATTTATGATTATACTTTTAGATTAAACTATGTATTCGCAAATATATTTACTGCATAGAACTTTTATACTTCACCATTTTTTCGATTAGTGAAACTTTTACTTTGAAAAACTCATGAACATTTACTATTTATAGATATTCAAAAAATTATATAAATAGTCACAACTTTTTAAATGTATAGTTAGTTATTTAATGAATAGTCACAACTTTCTATTTATAGGTAGTTAATTAAAAGATACTTTTACAATATGGAATAGACACCTCTTTTCAAATAATAATTAATAGTCACAACTTTCTATTTGTAGTTAGTTGATTAAATGGCACCTTTACAATATTTATTTCGAATAGACACATTTAAAAAAACAATATATTTTGAATAGACACATTTTTCAAAATAACTAAATTTTAAATAAATACATCATTAAAAAATACTTTTATCATACAAAGACACATTATCTAGAATTCACAACCTTTTACATTAATTAGTACCTATACAATATTTATTTCGAATAGACACATCTTAAAAATAGCAATATAATTTGAACAAACACGTTCTTTCAAAATAACTAAATTTTAAATCGACATATCATTACAAAAAAAATATTTTTATCATAGAAAGACAGATTAGATATGATTCACCACCTTTCCCATTAATTACAATTGGTATTATTAATAAATTATTATGTTTAAATATATATATCACATTCAGCACATTTGTTTATTGGATTTAAAATCAACCATATAATTGTATAGAAAAATACTTATTATTTCTTAATTTTTATATTTTTTGTAACAATCATAACTAATTATATATTTGATTAGAATGATGAAAAAGTTTGTGATTATTAATCAAAAAATTTAAATGTATCCACTAAAAAGCTGGTGAAATAGGTGGAGATGTCATATTGTTTGGACCTCTTGAAATTTTCTTTTCATTTCAATATCTGGTATAGAAGCTGGTGGGGTAGGCGGTGATGTCACATTGTTTGGACCTCTTGGAACCAGTCTCTTTATTTCAATATCTGTTGTAAATCTGGTGGCGTAGGTAGAGATGTCGCATTGTTTGGACCTCTTAAAACTAATCTCTTTCATTTCAATATTTGTTACAAAAGGTGGTGGGTTAGATGGAGGTGTAGCATTGTCTGGACCTCCTGGAGACAATCTCTTTATTTCAATATCTGTTATAAAAGCTGGTGGGGAAGGTGGAGATGTCATATTGTTTGGACCTCTTGGAACTTTTCTCCTTGTTCCGATATTTGTTAACTTTCGCGACTGGCTAAAGATATCGTAATAAACCAGAATTGAAACACCATAACTCCAAAAAAACCTTTCATATTTTGTTTTTTGTGTGCCTTTGTTACTTAGTGGATTAAGTGAATATGTGATTGCATGAACTGTTTCAATTGAGATACTTTACATATGAATAACTACATTCTGTTGGAATAATTCCGTGGTTTTAAATCACCTGTAAGAATCTTGTTTTTGAATTGAAGTGTTGGTTGACAATGTTATATAACTTAGCATTTTTTGTTAAGTAATCACAATTTATGAGTTGAAATATTATTACATAACAATGTTAATCTAATATATAAAGTAAGTTTATAACATATAAAAAAAAAATCTGAATACAAAATAGGCGCAGCCAAACATGAATATAAACTATCAGAATAAAATATATCATTCATTGGTTTATGTATTATATGAGCCACTTTATTTGCATCACATACTTTAACAAATTTAAAACCAGATCATTGCAACTTAGTACTCTTGCAGAAAAATAGTGCGTCGATAATTTCGTAAATTGGTTGATCTATCTTTGACGGTACGGATTAGATTAGTAATAGAGTCTCCTTTAAAACAGAATCATGGTAATCTCTAATCCACATATGTTGGCTAGTGAGCTCATTCCGGTTACTAAACTCATGAACATATACTATTCAAAGAATTACATGAATAGTCTTAACTTTCTAAGTTATAGTCAGTTATTTAATGAATAGTCACAATTTTTTATTTATAGGTAGTTAACTTAGTGATACCTTTACAATATCAAATAGACACCTCTTTTGAAATAATAATGAATAGTCACAATTTTTGTTTTTGTTTTTAGGTAGTTAGTTAAATGGTACCTTTACAATATCTATTTCGAATAGACAGATCTTTTCAAAAAACAATATAGTTTGAATAGACACATTCTTTCTAAATTTTAAATAAACTCATCATTTAAAAAAAGTATTTTTATTATAGAAAGACACATTATCTAAAATTCACAACCTTTCACATTATTTAGTACCTTTACAGTATTTATTTTGAATAGATACATCTTTTAAAAAAACAATAGAATTTGAATAGACACATTCTTTAAAAATAACTAAATTTTAAATAGACAATCATTTCAAAAATATTTTTTATTATAGAAAGACATATTAGATAGGATTCACAACCTATCATCGTAATTATGATTGCTATTATTAATAGATTATTTTTCAGCACGTTTGTTTATTGGATTTAAAATAAACCATATAATTTTATAGAAAATACTTATTATTTATTAATTTCTATTTTTTGTAACAATCATAACTAAACATATATTTGATTAGAATGATAAAAAAGTTTGTGCTTATTAATATATCAAAGTTTTTAAATATATATTCATTAAAAAGCTGGTGGCGAAGGTGGAGATGTTTGATTGTTTGGACCTCTTGGAACCAAATGCTTCATTTCAATATTTGTTACAGAGTGTGGTGGGTTAGATGGAGATGTAGCATTGTCTGGACCTCCTGGAGAAACTCTCTTTATTTCAATATCTGTAGTAAAAGCTGGTGGTGAAGGTGGAGATGTTTGATTGTTTGGACCTCTTGGAACCAAATGCTTTATTTCAATATTTTTTGCAAAAGGTGGTGGACTAGATGGAGATGTAGCATTATCAGGACCTCCTGGAGACACTCTCTTTATTTCAGTGGTTTTTCTATAAGCTGGTGGGGTAGGTGGAGATGTCATATTGTTTGGACCTCTTGGAACTTTTCTCATCGCTCCGATATTTGTTAAACTTTCGCGACTGGCTAAAGATATCGTAATAAAGAAGAATTGAAACACCATAACTCCAAAAACACCTTTCATATTTTAGTTTTTGTGTCGCTTTGTTACTTAGTGGATTAAGTGAATATGTGATTGCATGAACTGTTTCAGTTGAGATACTTTATAGTATCTGTAGACGAAGGTAAACACCTACTTATGGTACACAATATGACCATTCTAACAAATATCTCTTTGAATAGTATAGACATCTCAAAAAAAAAAAAAATCTCACAAATAAATCTTTGAATAGAAAGATATATATTTATTTTTTCCTTCTCACCTTATCAATATTAAAAATAAATATCTAAATTGATTAAATGCATGAACAGAGAAATTTGTTGACAAAAACACTTTTAGTACATTTGAACTCAAATCTAATAAATATAGATAAAAATATGTAAGAAGTTGGAACCTATTTGCAAAAAGATCTACTACTCATACAGTCACTACCTAATCTAAATATTAAATTATTAATTATATGTATATGTCTAATCTATTCTATTTAAACAAAACACGGTATATAATTAACTTTATGTGATGTGTTATTTATGAACTGTACCATTAAAATTTATAGATTTTTTTAACATTTATTGAATCTAATGTTATCAAATCAATTTTAAATAATTAATTTTATTTAACTATTTTATAATATATTATCATAATCATAATTTAATGATAAATATATATTTTACCTTATTATAAAAAAATCTTAAAACAATTTCTACTATTTACTTTTATAATATTTATTATAATGTGCAACTATTGTAAATATATAATAATAAATTATATTGTATTAAAATTTATTTTAAAAATAAAATGATTAAGATTTAATAATATATTTACATATTACATAGCAGAATATCTATGTGGTTTTAAATCACCTGTAAGAATCTAGTTTTTGGATTAAGGTGTTAGTTGACAATGTTATATAAATTTGTAATTTTTGTTCAGTAATAACATTTTCTGAGTTGAAATATAATTACAAATAACAATGTTAATATATAACGTATGTCTATAACACATAAAATTAAATCTTAAAACAAAATAGGCGTCATCCAAGCATTAATAAAAACTAATAAAAGATATCATTCATTGGTTATTGTATTATATGAGCCACTTTATTTGCATCACGTTTAACAAATTTAAAACTCGATCGTTGCAACTTAGTACTCCTGCAGAAAAATATTTCGTCAATATTTCTGTAAATTTTTACATTGGTTGACCTATCTTTAATGGTGCGGATTAGATTAGTAATAGAGTCTCTTTTAAGATAGAATTATGGTAATTTCTAATCCACATCTGTTGGCTAGTGTGCTCATTCCGGTTACTAAACTTGAACGAAATGGAAGTTATCGATGAGATCAAGCCAGAATCTCATTGGCGGAGGTGGTCATGGCAATTTCTGCATAGTGTTGAGAACTTGAGATTACTGAAGTTTGGTAGCTTATAGATTGTATAAACTAAAGGAGGGTTTCTTCTTGTAAATTGAGTTCCTGTCAAATTTAAATAAATATTTTAAAAATAAAGAAGGGTTTCGTCTACATATTTTTAGACATTTATTGAAGCTAATGTTATCAAATCCATTTTAATTAATTTATTTATAACATATTATCATATTTTAATTTAATGATAAATAAATAAATAAATAAATATATAAATATAAATATATATATATATATATATATATATATATATATATTTAACTTATTATAAAAAATCTTCTACAAATTTTTTACTCTTTATTTTTAAAATATTTATTTAAATCTGTAACTATAGTAAAAAATATAATATTTGTATTTTTAAAATAAATGATTAAGATATTTAATAATATCTTTACATATTACATATGAATAACTACATTCTATCAGAAGATAATTCTGTGGTTTTAAATCACCTGTAAGAATCTAATTCTTGAATTGAAATATTATTTAAAGGAAAATTGTTACGCAGCTACATGAACTATATATGCAACATCACATGGTCAACCATCCAGAGAAAACTAATGTATAAAAACCTACACAAAATATATGCCACACATAACGACATGTGATGATTTGCAAAATATATGTGTTTAACATCATAAACCCCACTTAATCTCGCCGAAACCCAGTTAATCTCGTCGGAACAGTGAAATCGAGTACCAAAGCCGAACCCAATATAAAAATTGAACCTGTTTAAAAAAAACGATCCACTCTTAATCAACCATAAACCTGACCCGAATTTAACCTAAATTCCCAAATCCGATCTCTCAGAGTTTTATCTCCTTCTGTCGGCAAAAAAGAAACATAGGCTATATGAGTTACAAGAGGAAGACGAAGACTGGGGAGTGTGAGATGATGACTTACAACGCTGAATCTTTGAGTTTTAGGCCGAGCAGATCTATTGGAGGTAGAATAATGTGTGATTGTTGGTTGCCCGCCAAGATTTTCACTTCGTGGACAAATAAAAATCATGGTCGAATGTTTTTTGGTTGTGAACTGTATAAGGTACACAAATCATATGTTCACAATTTCCTTTGTTTTTGTATTTTAGAGTGAGTACATCTTGTATCTCTTTGGGTATAGGAAATGGGCAATGAACATTGCAAGTTCTTTAAATGGTTCGATGAAGGGAAAGTCAATGGGTGGCCAAAAATAGCAATGATTGAAGCTATAGATGAAAGTAGAGAGGAAAAAAGAGTGATCAATGAACTGAGAAACATAAATTGGAAACTTTGTATGGAATTGGACAAAAAGAGGCTGCAAAATGAATTGAAAGTGAAGCTGAGATGAAACGTTTGAACCCCAACCTTGGATGGAAGAATAAGTTTCTGAAACTGTTTTGTATCGTTAGTGATTAAGAGTGGAATGAATCTTCTGTTTCTAAAAGACTAGTTATGTAATGAATAATGAATGAGTCTTGTGTTTCTAAAAACTAGTTATGTAATGAATGATGAATGTGATACGTGATGATGTTTGGTACTAGTATTGTAATGTTTTGCACATACAAGAAGCTTTGAGTGACAAACTACAATCATAAACCAGAAGTAGATATAACATTTCAAAATGGAATACATAGTTGAAGTTTCCAAATCATTACGTCATCATTAACATGCTCGACCTCCATGGACATGTAAAAAGAAGGTAAGCTTTCTGAGAACATGTTAAAACATGTAAAACAATCCTAATAAGGTACCCAAGAACATGTTAAAACATCTAAATACTTTTTCAAAAGGATAAACTTCCCTTCAACTGAAAAGCAAAGCTGCCAAGCAGCTTCTTCTTCTGAGGTTTCTTTGGGGTGCTTCGTTTCCTTGGATTGGTTGGCTTGGCTGAGGTGCAGTAGAAGAAATAAACTCAACTTCCACTTGATCGTCCATTTGAGCTGCCAAATGAGTTTTTTCAGCTGTTTTTTAAGCGTCTTCTTGCCTTGCTTAGTTAGTCGTCTTTGTTTTTTCGGGTCTCCGGAGACTGTCGAAGGACAAAGAAAAAACACAATAAGCGCAGACATAACCACCGTATAAGAAATTTAAGAAAATAAGGTCATACCTCAGTGGGGCACTTCCTTGAGTTATGACCTTTCTCACTGGAAATATCACAGTGTGGTACTCTTCCTTTGTGATCAACCTTCTTCTTTGAAGGTGACTCATGTACTCCTTTAATCCTAGCTTTTCCCTTAGGTCTTCCTGGAGGATGTTTGTAAGGCGGTCCAACAATGCCTCCTCCTCCACAATCAATCCAAAATTTTGGTCCATTGACCGGCTTTAAATCTCTTCGATAAGTCTCTCTTCATTTCTCGGTGGTGTAGTAATCAGATATGTAGTTCTCAACCAAGCTTGTGTTCTCTCTGATCGCACACACAACATGATGACAGGGAATGCCAGTTAGATCCCACTTTCTACACGCACATTTCCTCCGGTGCAATTTCACCGAGTACCAATTATTTCCCTCAACAATCTCATACCTGCCACCAGTGCTAGAGACAGAGCGATAGTTTTGAACTTCATCACACGAATTCTCGGCCTTCTTTCTTCCTTTCTTAGTATGTCTTGCAGGTTCCTTACGAGCTGGTTCAAAGCGATTGGTAATCCTTTGCATTGCATCTCTCTGTATCAGCTCTAACATCTGGACAAAGGGTTTTTTCCGTGCCACCTTTAGAGTCCTATTAAAAGATTCTGTCAAGTTGTTGTGTGTGTCCGCACAACAGCAACCAATCCTAAAAATGCCCTACACCAAGTCCTGTGGTCTCGCTTAAGGAACTCATCACATGCCAAGGGGTCAAACTCTCTAAATGCAGCTAAATTTAGCTTGAAATCAGTTTCATTGTAGCTGCTTGCGACCCTCCAAGACATTGGCTTCAATGTCTCTGACTTGTGCAGTTTCTTCAGATTGGCGTAGATATGTCTTGCACAAGTTCGATATTGTGCCTTTGGCAACTCAGTAGCAACACAATGGATCAAACTTTTGTGCATATCAGATATTATTTTGATCTCATCACCTTCCCCCAAGTCCAAATCGACCATGACTTTGTGGACAAATCACTCCCAATTATCATTGCTTTCAGCAGAAACTACAGTCCATGCTATCAGGTATATCGAGTTATTAGGGTCCATTCCAATAGTAGTTAATATCATTCCATGCATTGAGTGCTTCAGAAGCGTACCATCCAAACCAAAAACGGATCTGCAGTGCTGCTTCAATGAAGTATTTATAGCTGCAAAGCATGAGTACATTTGTGAAAATGCTTCATTTCCATTTTCTCTACGAGTTGTGATAATCTCCATAGTAGTGTTTTTGTTTCTCATCTTGATTTCATGCTCATAATCTCTAAGTCTTGCAAATTGTTCATCAGTTTCAGCTTGCAACTTATAGAAAATTAGTCTTCTAGCAAATTTTGACTGAGCAGGCGAGATGATAATGTTGTATCTCTTTTTCATTTCATCCTTGATCTCCAGTGCACTCATATATGTATCTCGTCTTATGTCTTCAAGAAACAAATCAGCAACAACATAGCTCTTGATAAGCTTGCACCGCCCCACATGATTCATTTTCCAGTCGGTTTTTACAGAGTAATATATCCTCCATCCACAATTGTTTTCATCACACGTTGTACCAAGCATAGTCTCTCTCATCTATCAAATACCACATTACGCCTAGTCTACAAGATGAATCTATGACATTCTTCTTAAATTTCTGTCCTACTGCTAAAGAGTTGTCTCAAGCTGAAAACTCCATCAGGTAAACCCATTTGCACGAATCTATCAGCTTGTTCATCTTCATCATCTGTAGCAGGGTACACCTCATCTTTATATGGTATCTATTCTTTATAGTTCACATCAGCGAAGTCTACTATATTCTCTTCAACAACTTTCGCCTCATCATTTGATTCTGAAGATTCTGACAAGGCATCTTTTAAACACCTCCCATCATCCAATTCATCTGCAAAAGGATCATACAAACCGTCTGACTCCTCATCTTCATCTTCACCAAACATTAAACCCGTCTCAGCATTCTTTTCAACCAGATTTTCACAGAACTTCTCTCACTCTTTTTCAGCTTTATCATGCTGACCCTCTTCTTCTGGTCCAACGTTCATGCTCTCATCTTGAAATCCAACATTCCTACTCTCTTCTTCAGCTAGAACATCCCTACCTCTCTCTACATAGATGTCGAGCTCCTTGTACCCACGAGCTGCAGCTTCCATTCTCTTCTTATTAGCCTCGATATTTTCCCATAAAGTTTTCCTATCTTCTTACTCATGAAATGGTAGCTTGAACCACAACTTCCCAATCACAATATTTTTCTCAAACATCTTCATTACAAAATTCATGAAGAGAGAATCCACATCCAACTCAAACACGTCGACGACTCCTAACACAATCCACCTTACTCTTTAAACCAACCAGAGTGAAAACATTTCACTTTTACCGAGACACTACATCAGAAAGAACAGCGATACTTTAGAACCTCAAACCCGACATGTTGCAAACCCAGAAGTCAACCATTTAAAATGAAAGAAATACCTCATATCAACTAGATTCTTTACCGATTCACTCTTCTCTTGCAAATTTAGCTACAAAATCCACTTGTTTTGCACTGAAATGAGCTTCGTTCTCTCTTTATCACGAACCCTAATTCGAAGAAAGGGATATGTTGAGATCGTGCATCGATTTCTTCTTTTTCTCATTTTTAATGGGCCTGTGAGATTCTAATTGCAGAATTGGGCTGGATTTATTAAGAGTTGGTCGGGTTTATGGTTAATTAAGGGTGGGTCAGTTTTTTGTTTAACCGGGTTCAACTTTTGAATTTGGTCATCGGCTTTGGTACTCGATTTCACTGTTACGACGAGATTAACCGGGTTCCGACGAGATTAAGTGGGTTTGTGACATATTTTTTTTGCTAATCATCACATGTCATTATGTGCGGCATATACTTTGTGTAGGTTTTCAAACATTAGTTTTCTCTGGATGGTTTGCAATGTGATGCTGCATAGTTCGTGTATTTGCTTAACAATTATCCTTATTTATAACTTAGTGATTTTTGTTCAGTGAACACAATTTGAGTTTAAATAGTATTACAATTAACAATGTTAAGTTTTATAACACATAAAATAAAATATGAATACAAAATAGGCGTTAGTTAAACATGAAGATATAAACTATCAGAGTAAAAGATATCATTCCTTGGTTTATGTTAGGCAATTATATGAGCCACTTATTTGCATCACATTTAACAAATTTAAAACCCTATCGTTGCAACTTAGTACTCCTGTAGAAAAATATTTTGTCAATAATTCTGTAAATTTAGGTATTGGTTGACTTATTTTTAATGGTACGTGATAGGACTGCGTTTCAGGGTTTAAAAACTCTTATTTTACTCTATCAAATTACCCAAAACTCAACTAAAACCTACTCTTGCCAAAAGAGATCAATTGCAGTATTTAGGGATCAAATCCACAGAGAGCAAATCACACAACTGATTTATTGATCTTATGGTTAAGCTAGGTGAAGTATTTATAATAATTATCAGGATGAAGTAAATCGGAAATTGTTTGAAGTTATCTTAATTCAAATAAGGAAAATATCTAGATCTAGGGTTTAAGAACGTGAACTATAATTGATAGATTGCTTACTTAGTCGAACTAATATACTAGGAAACAATCGCCCACTAATTATCATTGTCGATTGATGGTCGAGTGTCGACATCGATCAATGGGTGTCGCGAGTTTGATTTCATCAGGTGTGATCGATCAGCTCTCACTTGTTTCTAATCAACCTAACTCAATTCAAATATATCAGGCTAGAACCTACTTTCGCAGTATCATAAGTTCTAAGATCAAGTTCTAGTTAGCTACTCTAGAGATTGCCTTAAGTATGCTTCTAATCAATGGGTGTTAATCCTTCTAACTACCTATTTTGGGGCTAATTCGACAGAACCATATCAAACCGTAAATCTAACATATGGAACTACTCAGACATAATCATGCTAAACATATTCATAGTCTGAAAAGAATGCATAGATATAAAACTGGGATTCAATACAAAGAAATGTGAAAAGTCTTGCTAGATCTTCTCCCCAAAAACAATGAAAAACTATCTAGGTAAAAAGCACGGTCTTCTGCCTAAGGGTAGCAGAAACCATTATATAATTAGGTAAGAACTCGCCAGGGTCAAATTTGTAATTATGCTGGTCTTGGGCTCCAAGTCCGAATCTGAATAAAGTCGGGTCTTCTCGCCTTGACCATCGATCGATGCTAGGGTAGCAATATCGATCGATGCTGATCTTGTGATATC